GCAGCGGTCAAATAAGTCACTCGTCTCATAAATCACTTCAAACGAGTCATTCCGAGATCAATTTATCATCCAATCAACCGCTTGAATCAAATCAATATGTGGTCACGAGATTACTTCATTACATCCAGATTGTTTTCTTCTGATATTTTTATGCCTCAATGTGATAATATTTATGCATATAATCCTTTCAGGTGAAGACTTCCTATCAGACAGTGACTGGGTGTCTGTTGCAACTCGTTCATGCACTCCGGTCGAATGTGATTTCCCTCGTCAGTTATGCATGCGACCGTCGGGTAAATTCAATGATGAATCTACTAACCAATGCAGAAACATTCCTGAAACTGTAAGATGCTTCGTTGATCAATATGAAGAAACTGCATTATGAATTTTATGTGTCAACTGATTCACAGAAACCTGCCGTAATCTTGAAATACAACTTAATGAACAGTTTTAAAAGCGTCAATTGTTTAGATGCAGATTTCCATTCGGATTTATTAACACATTCTTAAAATTACAATTTTTTCACACTGCTTGGCTAGAATCTGAATTTTTTCGTCAGCATATTATGCTGTGAGGTGCAATAAGGCCGTGTTGTGCAAAAAGTGAACAATTTCAGTGCATAACTGCGGCAAATAATGGAGTTCCGCTTGGTACCAGTGCACCAAAGCTTCTACCGCCAACAACAACACCTACGATCCCCTCATTGATACTAACCATCGCAACTAAACCCCCTCTGCCCATTCCGGAACCCTCGCCCTTACTTCCACCCATAACCATACCGTCAACCGTGGAAGGTAAGAGTTGCAGTTAAAAATTTGCTTGAAGCCGTAGAAACTAATCAGAACTTTTGCTTGAATAAAATCATAAAGTGGAATATTGGTGGCATTAAGAGAGTCTCGAATTTCAGTGACTGCTCCACCGATTGGAGCAGTTCTACCAGAAACGTTTGGAACAAACATCTGTGAGTTAGGTCTGCCTCAAGGACGATTTTGCGGTTTTCTCGAAAAGTTTGCCTATAATCGGTCAGTTTCAGTCGAATTTCTCTTTGAATCATACCATGCTTTGTTGATCGTATCAAGCATAAAAACAGCGACAAGGCTCAACCGAAACTTGAAGTTCATTCTCATTCGAAACAATACGCACCCCTGATGACGATGCTTTCAATGAGTAAACGAGCGTCATTGATAATCAGCAGAAAACGAGCACGAATTCATGCCTTATTAAAAACTATTCTTTAAAAACGCCTTTTCCTGTTCACACCATATACCACTGCTCTAATGTCGCTTTTTACAATGCAGAAAATTAGGATTTTCACATTGTTTCACCGCCTTAAAAGCGATTTCCTCATTTAAGTGCTAATTCGCGTCAGTTTTGTTTGCATATATGTTGCGTGACTAAACACCATGAAGTTGAGGTGTTAATAAATGATTTCATGATCTAAACTGATCGTGAACTGTAATAATATTGAATCCATGCAAGTCGATTCTTTATTATCGAAATTAAGTGAAGTGATTCTTTAAGGGAATATGGTCGTTGCGAGAAATTTTTGTTCGCCGGTTGCACAACTCCGGAAACGAACGCGAANCTTTTCGACACGATTGAAGAGTGCTTTTATGCAACTCGATCATGTACAGGTATCGTTTCTATTCAGTTTCTCATTATCCTGCTCTCTCTTTGGTATTCGTCGTCGAAATGTTAGAAAACTTTTTGCTTTTCATCGAATTCATTGAATTTTTCGATTGGTTTTTGATTGAAACATTTTGTTGGCTAGTTCAGTGCAGTCAGAGGGTTGATAGTCATATACCTTGATAATGGCTTCTTAGAATTAAACGTGTCACGTCAATCACTTCTTTGGTTCATGCTTGCTGATATTGCTAGATAAAATTGTCCCATTCATATACTGATCGGCTTGATGAAGTGGTGTTTTTCGTTCAAAATCTCCCAGTTAGAACAACGCTTAATGTTTGATGCGACCAACAGCCCTTTTTAGATCGATAAATCGTTGAATAGAGACCAATCTGCTGCTGTTTAGACGGAGTTTATTTTCGATCTCCCAAGAGTATGACGAATTATTGATAAGGAAGCACTGAAGACTACACGTCAGCCGATGAAATTCTTCGCAGCGTCGCTTTTTGGTCACTGATGAGCACCACTTCAAAATCACCATCACATCAAAAAATT